GCCCCGGCGGGAGGAGGGAGCCGGAGTCCCGCCCGCCGCGATGCCAATGGGAGAAGTTTTCCCGGCTCCGGGGCACGGCCTGGACCGACCCTGCCTGGCCCGGCCCGGTTCCGCTTGGCCCGGTTCAGCCCGGATCGACTCGGCTTGGTTCAGCCCGGCTCGGCTCGGCCCCGATCAACTCGGATAGGTTCAGTTCAGCACTGCTCAGCTTGGCTCAGCTCAGCTCGGTTCAGTTCAGTTCATCCTATCGCATCCTGGCTCAGTTCAACTCAGCCCGGCTCAACTCAGCTTGGTTCAGTATGGTTCAAGTTGGCTCAGTTTGTCTCAGTTCAGCTCAGCACAGTTTGACTCCACTCTGCGTGGCCCGTTCGTGGCTTGGCATGGCACAGTTCACCTCCGCTCTGCTCAGTTCAGCAGAGCTCAGCTTTGTTCAGCTCAGCACAGTCCAGCTCCACTCTGTTTGGCTTGACCTGGCTCGGCTTGGTTCAGATCAGCACAGTTCAGCTGGGCTCAGCCCAGCCAGCACAATTCAACTGCATTTGACTCAGCCCGGCTCAGCTTGGCTCTGTCCATCACTTCACTGTTCATCCCAGCTTGGTTTAAATCACTGCCCTCACAGCACTGGGATGAGCCGCTATTGGGCTGGGGGGTCCCCACTGCACCCCCAGGCCAAGAGGGAGCCCCGTGCCAGCGCCGCGGCAGCAGGGGGTGGCAGTGGGGGTCAGTGCGTAGCTCCCTCTGGGATTCCGGGCCCTCGCTTGTTGCAGGCATCGTGTCCGGACGGCCCTGGCGTTACTGGGGTGTTAACCAGGCTGAGCAGCCCTCTGGGTGCTCCGTCCCCACGTGCCTGCTGCCCTCTGTGAGAGAGGCAGGCTGCTCTGGAGAGCGCTTCATGTGCCCCATCTCCAATGCTTGTCTCGGGAGGGGAATGAATCACCTCCAGGAGCAGCAGGTTGCATCGCTCTCGATTCCCGCGGGAGCCGGGTTCGGCTGGATGTGCTAGAAGCAGAGGAGACAGTGGCCATCCTGTCTGCCTCTGCCCTGGGGATGCTCTGACAGCACTGCAGGGCTGGGGGGCTCCAGGCTGAACGCAGGTAAGGCCATGGCACTGACGGAGCCCGATGTTTGCCCCGTGTGTGGTTGGTGCTAGTGGGAAGTCCCCAACCACTGTGGCTGGCGGCAAAGGGCAAAGTCCTCTCACTACTCCTTTTATTACACAGCCTAATTGCTCTGGCTGGGTTTGCCTTATTAAGGGTCATTTTGGGGTCCTTCATGCTCCATCGCATGGCCCCATGCACTGTCCCCCTCCGTGGGCATTTAGCAAGAGGACGAGGACCCACACCGGCGTCAGGGGCCCACAGCCGCTCCTGATGGGCATCCCGGCCTTTGCCACTTGGGTTGTAGATGTTGCCAGGTCCCTCTGCCAGGTAGTGCTTCGGCACCGGGGAGAGCAGCCGGTGCCAGGAGCCCTGGCACTGCCTGAAATCTGGCACAGCGGGCGTGGAGGAGGCCGCAGTTGCCATCTCTCTTCTGAACGGCCCCACGACACAGGAAAAAATAACCCTGTTGTGCTGGAGGGGAGGAAAGAAAAAACACCAACCCACGTTTCAACAGGGGCAGTGGCTGCAGTGCAGAGTCAAACAGGCTGGGGTGGTTTTTCTGGGGTGTGGTGGTGGGACCCCGGCTCTTCCAGGCAGGGGAATTCAGGGAATGCTGGTAAGGTCGAGGAGGGATGTTTCGGACATCATGGCTGCGGGCTCTCCCGTCGGTATCCTTCTTTAATGTGATGGAATGCTTGGAGCAGTAGGATAGGGATTGGTCCCTGGGCACATCTTCTCCCATTGGGATGTTGCATTATGGCCACGTGCGCTGGCGCGGGTGCTTCTGCCCTCGCTCACCCTGCAAGGGATAGCAGAACCTTTCAGCTGCCTGAACAGGACGCGGGCTGAGGGGTGCAGAGGATGCTGGGCTGGACCACAGAGGTGCATGGTCTGCGCTGAGCAGCTGTGGGCCCAGACTATGCAGTCCATTATGGTGAAATGGAGCAGACCTTGGTCCGGAGCATGGCAGCGCTTGGTTTTACCCTCACAGCTCTGATGAAGGATGTGGGTATCGCTTCTTCCCTACTCCTGGCATGCTCAGGTCTTGTTCGTTGCAGAGTGCTGGGGAAGAAGATGGACCTCAATGACTCCATCTGCCCCTGGTTGCTCTGCAGTAGCCAGCTTTGCCTCAAAGGCCTCCTAGGCCAAGCAGAGCACTAGTGATACCCACTGTGACCAATGCAGCCCAGGGAAGGGGTGCACATTGTGGCCTGGCATCCTGAGGAGGAGATGAGAGCAAGTGTGGGGATGGCAGGGAGCCATGGGGCAGCCAGGAATGTTGTGGCGGGAGCTGGGGTGATGACTAGACGTGTGAGGCCAGGCATGTCTGATCCAGCTCCGGACAGCTGTTGTAGGCTGGCAGGAGGTGGTTTCCATGCCACGGAGCAGGAGGATGGGAGGGTTTGGTGGAGTATTCCACAGGGGCAGCCCAGATGCCACCCAAACATGTCCCCAGTGAGGCTGCTTTCCTAGTGCTGCACACTCTCATTCTTGTCATGGGACAGCCCCAGCTTTAATTCTGGCAAAGAAGTTCCCATTCCAGCCAATGTGTCCATGCTCTGGAGAGACTGTGCAGGCCATGCCAGTCCTACTGTCCTTTTCAAAGGGTTTGGGGGCCTTGGAGGATTTTTACAACCCTTCAGCTGGCAGGTGGGGGCTCCAAGGTAGGCACAGTAGCAATATGGGGAAGATTCCCAGTTTCTCAGTAAAGAAACATCACCAAAGCTGAAAGAAGAATCTCACTGAAGAAAGGTCAAATTCTACTGGTCCAGCTAACTCTCAAGACAGTTTTTATAAGACTTTACATGGTGTCATTTGAGTTCTTAGAAAGCCCAGATTGGGGGAGAGCCTTTATGAAACGTGGTCTCCCAAGAGAGCATCACTTGCTGTCAGCCTGTCCTTCCTTTCGAAAACACATTGCACATTGGGCAGGGGCTGTCCTTCTTGTGGGATGTCCAAAGATGAATTGTGAAAAGGGAAAATCCTTTGCACGCTCTAGCCAGGTCTCTCTTAGGAAACCAGGGGCTGGCACGTGGTCAGAGGGAGCTTGGTGGCTAGTTCTCTGAAGAGAGTGCCCTGCTACGTTCATCTTTCCATTGCTCAACACCAGAGGGTGCTTCCCAGCTGCTCCGTGGTGTTGGGAAATGCTACGGATAGCCCCATTACCTTTTGACCTACTTGGTGTCTTCCTTACCTAATTTGCTAATTAGAGTTGGCCTTCTTCACCCTGGAAGTGGGGCTGGGTTGATGGCAGCCACCTCCCACACCCTTCCTGGGGCTGAAAGACAACTGCCAGTGCAGAGCCCTATAGGGGTTCGCTGCTTTTCCGGGCTACCCTTGCCCTAGGCTGTTCCTATAGCTCAGTGGAGCCTCCCATGACTAACAGGTTTGGAGATAATTGTTCCCCTCCCTAATCTCATCTGCAGAAGATTCATTGCATTGTTTTCAAAGTGCCATGAGCCATTTCCAGGGTCTTGAGGCCCGTGAGCAATGTGATTCATAGCGATGTGCTCCCATAGGTACTTAATCTTTTCCAAAACAGCAAGCCCTTCTTCCAGAGCTATTATCTCCTCAGGAAACACCACCCAGGTGAGTCCTTAATGGGGAGCTTGTGTCTATTTGGCTTTGGTGGAGACCTGTGGCAGCCCTTTCATGTACCATGAAGGGTATGTTCTTTCCCCAGGGACAGTTGTCCTGGGACAAGGAGCAGTGGAGACCCCCTTGACTGTCACCTGGTGTCCAGAGAGGGCAAGGGGGATGCTGGAAATGGGCCTTCTCCTTCTGCCCCCAGGCCTTTTCGAACCTTGCTTCAAAGGGACATCTTTGGGTTGTGACTGAGGGCTGTTTTCAGCTTCCCTTACGTTTTGCTGCCAGAAAATGCAGTTGACTTTGTACTCAGTATCCTATGCACCCTGGTGTCTGTGTGAACAGCCCCCCACTGATCTCCTCCAGTTCTTAACAGGCTTCCTCAGAAGTGATCGCCTGGTTTCCTCAGGTCACTGGTACATATTTTTCTTAATTGAGAGCAAGACTAGTGAGACCAGACACTCCGAGCTCTTTCAAGACAACCACCAGGCAATCAGTCTGCAAACCATTTAAGGGGCAGCCTGTTGATTTGGGAGATTTAAGAGATAGTGCCAAGATCTGCCTTGGTTGGGGCAAGTACAAGGCTCTCTGCACAGCCCTTCATTCTGTATGGTCCCAGTGCTGGTGCTGGGCTATAGATGGTGGCACAGACACATCCCATCTGGCTTCAGTAAAAGAGGGACAACTTTTGGCATCTGTCAGCCTTTTGGTATCTCCTAGCCCAGTGCTGTGTCATTGAGATTAGCCTCCCAGGTCCACAGGAGGGTTTTTAGGCTGTACTGATTGCAGTCTAGTCTTGTCTTCCATCTATGGGAATGGGACACAAACCCCCATGCTTCTCCATCATCTCCTTCATCTGAGGGATCAGGGACACAAAAACCCTTCCTTTGGCTTCTCTGGTGGGGACTGGCTGATCTTTTCTGCTCCTGGATGCAGCGCATCCTGAGCAGTGCCCGTCCTGGGGCTCTCACAGGCTCTCCATCCAGCAAACTCCTTTGGGAAATAGAAGTGTAGTTTAGCATCCAGCTGAGCACTGACTCCACTGATTCCTCTAATGTTCAGAAAATTCACGGTCCTGGTTGGTTTTGTCTAGTTGTGAGGGATCTCTAGGTATTTATAAAACACCTTTCCACTTCCAGGCAGATTCATGGCTCCAGGAGAAGTCCCACCTTTATCCATTTCCTGCTCTGACACTTTTCTGACCAGGTGAAGAATCATATGCTACCATGTCCTTTTGTCCACCGAGCCCTGTCAGCCTGTTCACCAGATGGGCTCTCATGTGGTTTCCCAGAGCTGAGGTTGAACTCCCCAAGGAAACCGGCTCCACATTCCTCTCCCTGTGGCTGGGAAGTTTCCATTGGCCTTCTGGATGTTCCCAGGTCTGCTAAGGCAGGCAGGAGTACCTGGGTCTTGCACTTCCATCTCACTGGGTGCTCATGGAAGCCATGTCAGGCTCACTTTGCCACCCAGGACCTTTTTCAAACTTGACATCTCCCCTTCCTCTACATTCTTCTTGTTTTCTTTTTCCTTTGTAACTTTTTTGTGGTCCTGGTGGCTGACTCAGCCTCTGGCCTCAAGTAATCCTTTGGAAGAGAGGAAGCTGGACACTTCCAGCTGAACTTCTCCTGCCCTAGGGCAGCCCCCCTGCCAAGCCCAGGGCTAAGACCTTTTCTTCATCCTATCATTTTACCACGTCCCTTTTCTTCTGTCTTTTTCACAGGGCCTCTGGCTAGCTATTAGCATGACAGGGGCAGGACAAATGTGGCTTCCCCTTGGCCAACAAGGCTGATCCAGGAGTCATTGGCCAGGGAAGAGGGCAGTAGGTCAAAGCATAAGGTGACCTGGTTTCCGTTCTACGCCTCCATGCCCATGCTGCTGGGGAAGGCAACTACACAGCAGAGCATGTTGCCAGTCTAGGGTTGCTCAAGACTTCTGGGGACAGTAGGCAAAGGATGAGTCCTCCAGCTGAGAGAGCAGAAGGAATTTTAGGGAGGAAGATTATAATTAGGCATCTGGAAGTTGGCTGAGGCTTGCTGGGAGTTGCAAAAAAATGCTCTGGCATCTCCAGCCCATAAACAAAAATGAAGTTGCAGTATGCCTGGTAGGAATGGCCCTTCCTGTGTGTCCCAACACACCTGCAGAGTAATGGATCTTCAGTGCTTTTGAAAGTCTAGATTTTTTCCCCACACAAGATCGCAAGTCTCCCTGCCTGGGCTCAGGAAAAGCAGTGGAAACATTCCTATCACAGCAGTCTGTAATGGAATTCATGGTGAGAATACAGCAGGCCAAAGGGCCTTGGCCATCAGGAGGCCATCATGAAGGCCCTCGCTGAGTACATGATGAATAACTTGAGCAGGTAGATCTTAGAGAGCACTGGTTGAGCAAGGACCCTTGCGGTGGGCTTCCTCACTGACATGGGTAAGAAAGACTCTGAGGGCCATGGTTTTATCCTGAGCTTGTGCTGGCCCATGCAGTGAAGGTGCAGACTGATAGGGCACCAAACAGCTAAGAAAAGCCCTGTTCGATTAGGAGAAGGACTCATTCTTATCTGGGGCATGTAGTTGATTCCCCACTTCTCTCTCAGGGCTCACTTGCCTTCCCAAGGTCCTAGGTTAGTCAAACCATGGCCTAAGACATGATGCAGAAGCAGGAGGGCAAAACACAGCACCTAGACTGGGCAGCCCACATTGAACTGGGGCTCCTCCTGCCTTTTAGCTCTCAACACTCAGCAGCTTTGTGGGGTCTGAGTAAAATGGAAACTTTACCATCTCTATTCTACCTCTGCCCACATCATCTTCCCATCCTGTGCTTCACATCCCAGCCATTTGTTTCAGCAGAGTGCCCTTTGTATTTTCATCTTGGGCAATGCCTAAAGACAAAAGGTTTGCAGGACAGAAGACCCACATGCCTACCCTGCATGCCTTCACCACAACAGACCTTGCCTTTCTGCCCAGGTAGGCTTTGGCACATGTGTCCTCCAGATGGATGATCTAAAGCTTCCTAGGACTTGCGTTTTGTTTGGTCCCCTGCCACAAGGTGTGTATCTGAGATGACCGCCCTGTGGACACAGAGAATGGAGCTAACGTGGCCAATCACTCCAGCTGGGTGAATGAACTCTTGGGACTGAGGATGTTGCTTTCAACTAAAATAAGAGCAAAAGAGTGATCATCAGGTTGTAGGACTTCTTGTTGAGAGTCTGGGTTGTTCATTTCCAGAGTATCGAAGGTGATAAAAGCAAAACGAAGCCTATCATGTGATTCCCTGAAGACCTGTGGGATACAAGACATGAAGGCATGTGTCGCTCTGGGGTGTCATACGTGTGGATGCCATGCCCCCTCGTGGTAGCAGAAGTCAACCAGAAGGATGCATGGACCAGGAGATGCACCAGCCTGGCAAGGTGAACTTGGACTCCTCAGGCATGGGAAGCTTTGGACAGATGTAGTGGGTCATCTCGGCAGCTCCAGGACACAGCTGGAGCCAGGGCCATGCAGAGATTCAGCCCAACCACAGGCAGAGATGGCATCAGGGAGAAGCTGTGTCTGCCTTGGGGTGACCAGCACTAGCCTCATTCAGCCTGCAAGCTGGGAGCAGCCTCCTCCAGAGCAATCCTGGGAGGACAGTCACCTAGAGCATCCCAACGGCAGCTTCGCTTGTGGAGCCTGGGGCCACACATGCCTTGGGTCCCGATCAAGCATCATGCAGGCCTGTAATGACCCACAAACCTGCCTACATTCGTGAAAGAGCTTTCTGCATTGCAACATCGTCCTCTCTCCTTCTCATGGTGGGCCAGGATGAGACTTCTGCTTTTTTTTTTTTTTTTTTTTTTTTTTTGACATGATTCACTCGCGTTGTGGCCAAGCCAAGTTCTTCAGGCGCCTTTCAAGGGCAATGTGTGCCTGGGGCCAGACTGGGAATCCTGGAAATGTTACCAAGGCTGTAAAGCCAAAAACAATCAGGAAAGAAAATAAACATGGTTTGGCGGAGGCCTTCACTGAGGACACAACCTCCCCGGGTGACATGCGCTGCATGGTGGTGAATCCTTTCTCAGGTGGCCTGTGAAGCACCAAGCCCACTGCAGAAGAGCAGAATGGTGCTCACCTCTGGGTAAAGAGGCTTCCTAGAAGGGAGTGTTTGGCTAATTGTGGGCTCATTCATGCTCCATGTCCAGGTGAGCCAATCACATCCAATGCTCTGCCTCCAAGAATCCCATGACTTCTGTTTCTCTTGCCTACCTGTGCACAGAGGGATGCTCTGGAGCCCCAAGAACATCTGTCCTTGGGGTTTGGTGCCACTTTCCTGTCAGAGCTGTACACTGAGGCCAGGAGTGAGCTGTGCTGGATCCCTCAGTATCCCTTGGACAGGATACTGTGTCAGCACAGGACACACACAGCTCTGGACTTGGTAATTGCTGTCCCGAAAGCATCTGGGGAAACCTCGTAGGCAGCTCAGGTGGAGGCTGGGGCAGATGGGCACTACCCAGCTCCTCCTAGGACCCGTCTGAGTCTAAATTCTAAAGAGCACTTCCCGGGAGGGAGAAGCCCCCTCGCAGAGGTTAATCAAGAGGAAGAAGCTGCCCAGCCAGATGGAGTTTTTCTTCATTCTTTAAAACCCTCCCGAGACTTGCTGTGCTGGATTCATTGCTGGAGGCAACACGAGGGCAGCAGTTAGGTGGAGCCGCCGTGATGGATGATGTGCCGCAATTCCTAAAGGCCTAGGCCATGAAGGATAGTGTTTAAAGCCCAGCAACAGCTGTGTCTGCACCCTGGGCCATGCTTTCTGCCCTGGGCAGAAAGGTTTCCAGACTCTTGCTACTGTTGGAAGCAGCGGCAGCTCCCACCAGAGCAGAAGGGCTTGTCTTCTAGGTAGCTCAGAAATGGTACCAAATTGGGCTTGCAGAATCCACGGGAAGCACTGCCACATGTTGAGCACCAATTCCTGACATCCAGTGTGGCTTCCAGTCCATGCTATGGATGATGTGAACTGTGTTGGGTCAAGAAATGTCCTGCCTGGACATCTCACAGGCCACAAAAAGACTGCGTTCCTGGAAAAGTCACCTTGTGAACTCACCCCTATCTGCTGAGCACACATAAATGGAGACTTTTTTTGTGGAGGCTTACTGCTTACCCACCTATTTGCAGGGGGCTTGTGTCTGCCAGGCTCTGCATTACCTGCTCTAGGAGGGGGAAAGTCCAGCCTCAACCTGTGCCATGTAATGTCAGCTCTGCTTGGCTCCTTCGTTGGCTAAAAAAGGAAAAAAGGAAAAAAAAATAGAGAGAGGGTTTTGCAAAGGAGTTGCTGGATTTGGGGAAGTGAGCTTGCTGAGATGGGGGGGATGTTGCCACTGCTGTCCTTGGGTTTATCACAGTGCAGCCTTGCTCCCGATCCGACTAGCCTGCTCCTGCCCTTGGGACTGCAGCCTTGAGACGGCCCCGGTGCCGGCGCTCGCGGCAGCCTTCAGTCTCGCCTGGCAGGGTAGCCCCCGCCTAAGGACCGGGGCATGTGCTGTCCCTGCGTGCCAGCGGGCAGCTTGGGCCCAGCCCCCTGACCACGGCAGGACAGAGGGGCTGTGCAGTGGCAGCTGGGAGGATGCTGCTTTAGCACATGGAAAAGTACCGGTGTGGGGGGGCCCAGCGCCGGGCTCTCCGAGGAACAGGGAGCTGCAGGACACAGAGAAGCTTGGAGAGAAGAGCAAGGCAGTCTTCAACCCAGACCCCTGCTGTCCCTTCACACTTGAAGAGCACCGGGGACCTTCTGCAGGGTGGCCGGGGTTCTGGGCAGCGCTGAGTGCCCATGGCAGCCACAGAGCCATGTGGGCAGCTTGGCTGATATGTGGCCACACGGTTGTAGGAGAGAAGGGCCCACTTCCCTGCGCCTTCCTCATCCTTATGGTTTATAACCCAGGATGTAGCCCCTGAAAGCACTGAACGGAAGCTGCTCTTTCCAGGCTGGCGTGGGCAGTGGGACCTGGCACAGCAGTTGCTGCCCGCCCGCCACCTCTGCCTCGAGGTGCTGGAAGCAGATGTGGTGTTGGCTGCACTCCCACCACAACTGCAGCCTCTCCAGTTTTCCAAGGCAGCGTGCTCTCCAGGCGGGAGGCAGATCAACAAGGGGTTCCTGCCAGGCCAGCTTCAGCAGACACCCGTGCGGACACCATTTCCAGGCCTGGACACAAAGAGGAGAAGCAGGCGCTGCCAGTCTGTCTCGGTGGAGGCTGTCATGCCTTCCCCATGGCTCCTGCAGTGCACTACAGCTTAGGACCAGCCCCTTGTCCACGGACACGTGGCCAGCACCATATACATCCACGGGCAACGCATATCCCCTGCCCTGCCACCCTTGGGGGATGCTGGAGGGAGCACTGACCCTTCTCCCCTGCTTCTGTCCTTGTCCCTGGCTGCATCTGCAGCCTCCAGAGTCCCCTGGTCTCCAGGTTCACACATGGCCCAGCCCACGTGCCAGGGCAAAAACCCACACGAGACAGCAGTAGTGTCAGATCACTTTATTGCCACAGCGGCCTTGGGCCAGACCCATCTCCTCCAGAGGGTCTGGGTCCAGCCCCTTGCCCCCTCTAATACTGTTCAGAAAGCAAATCCTGAGCCTCAACACGCACACACCCGGTCCCTGAGCTCATGGCCACAGTCACGTCATGAAGCGCACGTCATCCTCCATCGTCTACACTGGATGCGGGCTCTAGATGCTCTGGGGCAGCTCCTGGGACATTACTCCCACTCTGCCCTCCAATATTCCTGGAGCTCAGGGCCACAGAGGAAGAGCAAGGTCGAGCCAAGGGTGTAGAATGTGTTGGCCCCAGGAAGCACATCGGTGGTGGCATCAGGTGCAGCAGTGCTAGCCCAGCACTCTGTGGGGCTTGGCAAACAGCCGTGCCCTGCCCCTTGGGATGCCAAAGCAGCCCTGGCAGCTGAGAAGGGGAGCAGTGGGAGCCCCAGCGCTGGTGGCAGGCTCTGCTCCCCTGGCTGCCTCAAACGTCCATGCCGGGTGCCTGCCCCAGACCCAGGGCCTGCATCAAATCGTCACTGAGCCCGCGCTTCAGGGTCCTCCTCACTGTGGGAAAAGAAGAACTTTAGACCACGCCAGCAGACCCAGTTCACACCTCCCACAGCAGGAAAAGACCACAGGAACATGGGATAGAGTATGGGGGCAGGGAAAAGGACACAGAGGCAGGACAGAGTTTGGGGACACGGAAATGAAGACAGGACAGAGTGCAAGGATTGGGACATTGAGATGGGACAGAGCATGGAGAGAGGGAGAAAGATGGGCTAGGGTATGGCATCTGCCACCATGTTGACTTACAGGACTTCCTATTGCCGCGGGACCTCTTGCGCTCCCTGTTGGCACAGGGACGAGGGTTGGGGTTGTGCGTGACTGACTTTACCAAGCGGTCCATAATTTCATCCGAGGCATCATCTGGGGAGCTGGGAACATCCTCCTGGGCTGGGGAGCCCTGGGTTGGGGTGGTTTGCCCTGTCCCTAGGTGAAGGGCATGGGGACACCAACATCAGCCATGTCCAGACAGCTGGACACCCCTTGAGCCTCGTTCTCTGAGCAGTTCCCACTTCATTACTCTGTCACCCTCGTTCCCAACCCCAGCTTGCTCCTACCCCGGCTGGCTCGACTGCGGCGTGCAGGTGCATCCGTAGGAGAGATCAGCATGCTCTTCATGCTCTCATGGCCTGCTTCAGCCTGCTCCCGCTGCTCAGGGCTGGTGGACACCACTGCAGGTGGTGAGGCGGTCTCTGTGTTGTTGGCAACACCGGAGAATTTCTCCATCTGCAGCAGGATGAGAGACCGGTATGAGGGACGTAGATGGCCGATACCTGCCTCCTTCCAGGGCAACGTGGTGAACACCAAGTGGCCTCATACCTCAGTGATAAGTCGGCCCCGTGTCTTGTTGCGCTCACGGTGTGCAGCTCGTTTCTTCTGCTGCTGCAGGACGCGCTCCCGGCAGGTGCGGTACTCCAGGGCAAACTCCCTCAGGAGCTTGCAGATGAGACGCGTGCAGCCCTCCCCGGGTATCCCAGGTACAGCAGAAAAGAGTGAACCCTGCCGTGATGTGGGGCTGCTGGTCACAACAGGGACATCACCATCCCTGGCACTGACAGACCCATGGGTCCACCAGAATTGTCCCTCACCTAGAGGGACCCCTGGACTGCACAGGGTATTCACTGGGGGAGAGCAGGGCAAGGCACCTACTGCTCCCTCGTGCATCCCCAGGACCTAGGTCTCCCTCTTCCATCCCCAGGACACTGCTGAGTGACTCACTGACCTGTTGAGGACGCGCCTGTGCACGACTTTCAGGACAACAATGCGCTGGGTGCTGTCCTTGAGAAAGTCGGTCAGCTTGCTCTTCAGCACTGTCTTGGTCTCATGCTTGGCGATCACCTTGAGGTTGTCCCAGGATGCCCGGCACCTTCGTTCCAGCTGCACCAGGCTGTTCGCCAGCTCATCAAAGTCGATCTGGGAGATCAGCACACCAGCTGTCAGCCACCCTGTGCTGACGCAGGAAGCCCAGCCAGCTGCGCAGCGCAGGATCCATATCCTCACCCTGCCAAGTCATAGTAACGACAGAGCAGGGAGAAGGTGGCACCGGGGTGAGGGCTGTAGACTCACCTTGGCTGAGCGTGTGATTGAGGCAATCTCCGAGTAGAGGTCCGTGGTTTCTGGGAACTTCTCTACCACCATTTGGCAGAGATGGTAGAGCAGGGACTGCCGGTGCACCGTGTCCTTCACCTCTGAGACCTTCTCCAGATAGCCCAGCTCAAAGCCTCTGCTCTGAAACCCCAATGGACTCAGCAGGGCCCTTGAGCGTTCCTCCCACAGATGGCATGGAACAACTGGGCTCCTGCCAGCACCCGTGCCACCCCTGTGTGAGATGCCCTCCCAGACATATCTTGGTCCCTCTTGAGCACTATGATCAGTCCTCATCCTACAGTACTCAGACAGGACAGACCTTGCATCTCCTTATGAGCTGCGGTTGCTCAAGCAGGCCCATACCCAGCTCCTCACCTGGGAGCCATTTAGGAAATTGCCTGTGGCCAGCAGTGTGGCCAGGATGCATTTGAAGGTGTGATTTTTGGCCAGCTGCTCCATGCCCATTTTCAGGTCAAACAAGGGTTCTGCAATCTCCTGGAGGAGAAAAGAGTGTGAAGTGAGACCTGTCTCCCATTCCTTCAGCATTTGCCCCTGCCCATGAGAACAGCCACCTCCCACAGGGAAACCACCCAGACCCACCTTCTCTTGGGGATCTGCAGCCTGTCCTCGGTCAGGACATTGCCACCCATGCACAGATGTGATGCCCTCAGCTTATCCCAAGAACCCTCCTAGGAGGGCAGAGAGGAGATGAGGCCCTGCTCCATACCTGCTCCAGACTCTCATAGTCCAACTTGAAAGCCCAGAGCTGGAGTCTTGCTGTGAGATCACTGATGGAAGAGAGGGCAAGTAGGAACTGCTCTGCGGACCCCAGGGGCGCATCAGGGTTAGCCAGCTGGGCCTCCTGGATCTTCTGCTTCTCCTCCTCAGTTGGGACCATGGTCAGGATTTTCTAGGGCAGGCAAAGAAAGATGTGTCAGACTCCTAAGATATCACATGTCACCAAAGAGAATGGCAAACCATTCATCTGCACGGTACCACATTGGCAGCACAGGCATCATAGCATGCACCCCTCCTTGTCAGTGGGGGCAACTCACATGACAACCCATGTGATGACCCTGGAAGGGGAGAAATCCTGCCACGCTCACCTCAATCCCTTCCTTATTGACTGCAAACTCATCAAAATTAAGCACAGCTGTTTTTATGATATGCACAGGTGGCAGCACCGTGAGGCCAATGTTGATGGCGTTGCTCCTCTTGGGATCCAACACCACCACCACCTTCTTCCCATCAACTGCTTTCTGCAAAGAGAAGAGGATATAGGCTGAGAGCCAGGTGAAGGGTTCACCCTCATGAAAATGTCATGGGCAAGTGAGACAGGTTAGGGACCTGGTGGCAAGCCAAGATCTGCCCACCACCTGCCTCTGGACTGAGGGCACCATCTCTGGGATTGACTAGTAGTGACAGTGCACACATAGGAGCCAGGTCCCCAGGCCTCACAGGACCTAACACCGCCTTCCCCCAATGTCCATAAATCCACCCAGGTCTGCCTGTAAAGTTGCTGGTACCTTGGAAGCTGGCACTTCCTTTGCCCGGGACTCAAAAAGATGCTCCAGTCTGTCAGCATTGACCTCAACTCTCTGCAGAGATGACCACAGTGTCCCCTGGCCAAACCTGCCTGGCCCCACAGTGCCATCCAGCTGCTTTAGCTCCTTCCAGAAGAGCTTCACTGTCCTCTTCTTTTTGGCCTGGGAAGGGCCATCCGTCACCAAGGATCCCAGAGGCCCCAGTGGCGGTGGAGGGCAGTTGGTGATTGTGGGAGGTGGAGGTGGAGGTGGGGGGCAGCCAGGGGCTGCAG